CGAAAATTAATCAAATTTTCGAACTAATATACAACTAAAATATGGTTAATAGACAGCCTTAGACACTCTGTCTCTGAAAGTCTTAGACTTAAAATAAAACTATTGAAATAAATAACTACTTAAATCGACCAAGGAGAGTAATAGACAACTGACAAATATTATCTGTTTAACTACTTGACAATGCCTTAGCAACCAAACTGTTTGGAGTTGAACAGGGCGTGATGTCTCCTAAACACGTCCATTACATTGACCAGATGCAGTGTTGCCAGAAGAAAAATTTCTGTCGTAACAAGGAATGCGCTTTTTATATAATTTTATTTATGTTTATTGAGTCCTCATTGCCCCCAAGAATTTCATTTTCACCCCACGGGGTAATTTACTCCGCTTCGCCGACCCCTGCTCTAAGGCATGGTATAGGGAATAATTCCTATATAAAGTAGATCTGCCTTTACATTGTTCCTGTAGGTTGCATGTTCACCTCCAGGCCGATGGCCTAAAAGATTCAGCTCTCACAAAAGAAGCTCACCGACTGGAGTAAAACGTTTCTGTTCAGGCAATTTGTCTAAGAGGGACAAACTTCTTTTCTCAATTTCCACCTCAATTGAGGTCACCTGTGTCTGGAAGAGAATGGAGTCACTCCTTGCGTGGCCCTGTCACTTCAGTTAAACGCTCGTTTCGTTTAGAGACCAACGCTGCTGCATTCAATTCAACCGTCGTTCGTGTTATTTCGTTAGAGCAACTGTCTCCTTGCCGTACAACAGAGGGAAAGTATAGGCCAATTTTTGTGGAAAAGGCTACTTCTTTCTCAGTCCTAATATTTGACAGGTCACTAAAAGCACTGAAGATGAGGGCATCACCCAATTTAATTCTGATTGGATGGCGCCATCGCTAGGGATGACTGAACAGAGATGCTTAAGTTAGTCAATTCCTGAAGGGCTTCACCATCCTGTTGCACTTGTACATCAGTTGTGCCGGAACAGTTCCTCATTACTTTTGACTTCGGGGCAAAAGCTTAAGTTAGAGGCCAGGTTTCGCAGATGTGTCACATTACGAAATACTTCAGCTGACAGAGTTCGCTACTCGTATTACTCATCAGGACAGGATCATCTGTATACTGAAAGTCAGTAAGACACCTAGCCGGATATCTTGTACTGCTCATTTCCTCCCGAATGAAGCTTTCGTCTTTGCCAGGGTGAACAGTGTTTGAGAGAAGAAAGTCGAGAACAATGCTGAATAACAACGACAAGGCATTTCGTCCTGGAGAACTGCATAGTTTACAGGGAACCACTCAGGCAATCCTTAAACTTTGACAACAGGCATGGTTGCTGCATACATTTCTTCTAAAATAAAACCATGTGCTCAGGTATCCCATAGTATTTTAAGATTATCCACATCGTCGGACAATCTAGCGAATGAAATGCTGCCTTAAAGTCGAGAAAATTTGAGCCTGAAACGCTAGCTAAACTCTTAAACTAAGGTAACTTGAATCTTCGGCATTGCTCTGTGATCATAATAACAGTAAAAGTTTGGTACGGGCAGAAGTATGCGGTCTGGGACACTTTGATTTTGGCAGCGTATTCGACCTTAAGTAAAAGAAATGCTTAATGATACGGTTTATACTGAATACTCAGTTACGCCATGATAAACGTAAAACTGGACTGTCTAAGATTCTGTTTGAATTACGCGACTACGACGTTTGCAATATTAAGTACTGCATAGCGACGGCCAAGCGTAAAGTTAAAACGTATGTCAAAGAATGTCTTGGGAGCATGGATGAATATCGTTCCGCATAAAAGCTAGCCAACTTTAGATCAAGGATTTTTCATCATAAGTCATGGATACAGGCTACCGAACCACCCTGCACAATATCTTCCATACCGATTTTAACTTCTAAGAAAACTTTTTAACGCATGACGTATCATCCTTAACATTACACAATAACAACAGGGTTACACCTTTTAGTGATTATCATATTGGACAACCAGCCATCAAGCAGGTCAGTGTGAACTGCAACCAAAAGAGGCGCCAGCATCAGATAGCATGGCTGTCGCGCTTGTTCGCAAGTAACGATCTGCTACACGTTTTTCGGCTAGTTGTACCGAAGTAAACATACGACAAATTGCTTGCTCAAGAGAATTTCGGTTTGAAACAAAGATTGTCCCTCATACGGAATCGAACCCCGCGTCTCCGACGTTCGACGCCGACCTTATTACCAAAGCCCAGGGTTGCTCAGTTCGTAGAGTACGTCTGACGCACAATCGATAGGATCCAAATTCGAATTCTGGCCAGATCACTCCTTTGTTTGAGGTTGAAAAATGAGTATCACTCAATGAGAAGGAAACAGAAGACTACGCATCATGCTTACTACAACGCTAATGTCGACTCTGTCTTTAGAGATAGAACTAATGATATGGAAATGGAAAGCAGAGCCACACCATTATCTTCATCAAAAGAAGGGCGCAAATAGTGGCTCCTATCACAAAAACGCAAGGAACACCGACTTTCCAGTGGTCACTTACTTTCCTTTTCCATTTCACAGCCACTGTGCTACTATGCCCAAACACGATACCACTGACCTACTGATTTGTTTATTGGCTAAGGTTTGTATTTTGTCATATACTTATGGATAGCATCAGAGTGGTGCAAATACTGTAATGTTAGGCTGAAAAGATCAACTACAGTTGATTTATACCAAAACCACAGGTGTTGCGCGGTGGCACAGTGGTAACTACGCCGGCCTCGAACAGTGGCAGT